TGACCCAAGTAAATAACGGAAATAGTACGCAGACGGTTAAGCTCCTCCCAAGTCTTCAGCGCACCTTTCCAAGGGTCAGATAGCGATTTAGACCATTTGTCAATTTTTTCGGGTTCCGCCAGCAAATGCTCATGATGTCCTGCCCATCCATCATGAGCTCCCTCCACGGGGAGCGCGGCCTCTCCCGGCGGTGCCATACCCTGCCTTAGCTGGTTTCTCGTCACTACGGGTTTTAGTTAGACTGACTGAAGAGGGGGTCCACATGGATCAGGGCAGCAAGTTGACGCATCCCATGGATCACACTCGTTCTTTCCATTATAAGCTGGAGGGGCTGATGCAGACAGCAATGGTGGATACAACGAGCCACTTTTAACAGGTCCTCCACCGACATTACTTCTACCAGCCGCTTTGGACCAGATCACTTCAGCTTTATGCTTTTCAATCTCAGCATTTTTACTATTGATTTCTGCTTGTTCTTTGTGTAGTTGTTCTGCCATTGCAGCCAACTGCTCCTTACCTTTATTCATTTCAGCATCGTTGTTTCATTCTACTGTTGCAACTGATTTGTTGTAATCATTGCCAATCGGGTCTGAGACTCCCCTTTTAAACGGCTCATCTTACCCCATGCTTTCTGAATGCTTGGCAGGGCCCACTGGCCGCTGCTTATGCCATACTTTTTTTCAATGCTTTCCTGTAATTCTTGGAGCTTTAAATTAGTCTGCAAACTCTTAGTTAATGTTTCCAACATTTCAGTCGAGTTTATCTCGGGAGGGGCCAGCTCTCCTTTAACTGTGGTTGGTTTACTTGAATCTCCCTTTGAACCTACCATTGTACTACATTTTGAGCCCATGGGCCATGTCAACGCTGAGAGGGCCGTTTCAATGCCGATGGGGCCGTTGCAACGCCGAGGGGGCTGTTCCAACGCCGAGGGGGCCGTTGAAACGCTGATGGGGCCGTTGAAACACCGAGGGGGCCGTTGAAACTCCGATGGCTACTCAATTTTTAGCAAGCTTCAGTCTCGACCTTCGCACACGATTCTTTCAAGGATTACGAGAAAATTCAAACAGCTCAACCCCTGAGACGAGGAATTTTTCCACGAGGATTCCTTACCTCAAGTCACGGCTGACTTTGTTACTGGGTCTTGGGATATCTATGTCCATTTTCTTGTCTTCTGTGATCCTGCCGACTACGCCAAATTGTTAGATACTGTTTTCAATGAGAGTCTTCAGACCAATGAAAATTTCAAAATGTTTTATTCAGTCCTGCAAACAGCTGCAGTCCAGGCACAACTTCCTCAGACCCTCATGGCCGCAGAGAGCTTGTAACCTGGTTTTTGCTGGTTATCATATCTTAGCTCACTATCACAGCCCAAATAAGGTCTTCTTGTTTTGAGTTCAAACAAAGGTCGACCAGTGGTCTCCCACACATCCCGACAATATGAAAAGGACCCGGTTATCCCTACTCTTTGTTTCTGACCCGTTAACCATTCCCCAATCCATGTTAATATGGTCCCCCCAATTCCATGGGCCCTTATCTTTTGGACTAACCTTTTATGCGGCACCTTATTGAATGCCTTCTGGAAGTCCAAATAGACCACATCCACTGATTCACCATTATTCAGTTTACTGGAAATATCCTCAAAAAATTCTATGAGAGTTGTCAAACATGACTTCCCTTTTGTAAAGCCATGTTGACTTGGCCTAATTATACTGTGCCCTAAATACCGCATTACCACATCCTTAATCAACAATTCTTAAATTTTTCCTATCACTGATGTGAGACTAATTGGCCTATCGTTCCCCATCTTTTCCTTTCCACCTTTTTTAAATAGTGGCGTCACATTTGCGATCTTCCAATCCATGGGGACTGTTCCAGATTTGGAAGATCAGACACAAGGCCTCCACTATCTCATAAGCTCCCGCTTTTAAAACCCTGGGATGCAAACCATCCGGACCAGGGGATTTGTCACTTTTTTAGTGCTAACAGTTTCCCAGCACCAATTCTCTACTGATGAAAAATTCCCTAAGTTGCTCCCTGTCCTTATCCCTTTGGTGCATCTCTGTTGTTGGTAGACTTGTTGTGTCTTCTCGGGTGAAGACAGATGCAAAGTACCCATTCAGGGACTCTGCCATATCCTTATCCCCCGTTACAACTTCTCCCGTCTCTGACTGTAGTGGACCTACATTTACCCTCACTAGCCTATTTCTCTTAATATATTTGTAAAAGCTTTTACAATCAGACTTAATGTTCCTCGCTCGCTTACCCTCATATTCTTTTTTCTCGCTCTTAATGAGTTTTTTAGTTTTATTTTGCTGGTTTCTAAAACTCTCCCAATCTTCTGATTTGCCGCTTTTATTGGCAGTTTTATAAGCTTATTCTTTTAATTTGATGCTTTCCCTAACTGCTCTAGTTAGCCACGGATGAATTGCTTTCCCTGTGGTAACCTTATTCCACAAGCAAATATGCGACCACTGAGAATTATGCACCACATCCTTAAAAATTTACCACTGTTGGTCTACATTTTTACCTCTTAATCTTATTCTCCAGTCTATTTTACCTAAATCTTTTCTGATACCTACAAAATTAGCCCTATTTAAGTTCAGAATACTTGCCTCGGATTTAACTATATCCCTCTCTAACTTAATGCAGAATTCAATCATATTGTGGTCACTCTGCCCGAGAGGATTTTTAATACCTACACTGCCAACTCGCCCTGTTTGTTCCACAAAACAAGGTCCAGGATGGTTTGTCCCCTAGTTGGTTCCTCGGCGCGCTGCTCTAGAAAGTTATCTCTCATACACTCAATTAACTCGTCTTCTAACCTACTCAGAGTCCTGTAGCTCAGTGGTTAGAGCACTCGCTTTGCAAGTGAGAGACCTGAGTTCAATTCCAGGCAGAGGGCCAAACCTTGGGCAAGTTTCCTTACTCCACACAGAGCCTAATAATAATCCCTCCAAAACCAAAAACAATAATAAATTGGTCATTTTCAATTTACGACTGTTTGTGGGACATTGCTGTGTGCAATTGGCTGCCGCGTTCGCCCACAAATATACAGTCAATTCACTTTACTGTGTGTTCTGTGAAGCGCTTTGGGATGTCCTCCCGACGTGAAAAGCGCTATATCAAATGCAAGGATTATTATTATTATTATTAGGCCGATTTGGTTTTCCCAATCTAGGTGGAGATTGAAATCACCCACTATGCATAACATAAAATGTAGGAGCAGGAGTAGGCCATTCGGCCCTTCGAGCCTCTGCCCCGCCATTCAATCATGGCTGATCTTCTAATCTAACTCCAGCTAATAACCTGACGCTGCCTTATCCCCATTTCACTTAATACCTTTTGCAATAAGAAATCTATTTATCTCAGTCTTGAATATGTTCAAGGAATGCTCCACTGATTTCTTGATTAATACCTTGTGCTATATTTTGATCGCTGTTTGAGGGTCAATAAACCACTCCCATTAATATTTTCTGCCCTTTATTATTTTTTATTTCCACCCATATTGTCTCTACCTCCTGTCATTGGATTTCAGATCCTTCCTCTCCACTGCTTTTATTTCATCCCCAATTACCAGGGCTACGCCCCCTCACCCCCACCACCTCGTTTCCCACAGTGCCTGTCTTTCCTGTAAACTGAGAACCCTGGAATATTTAACTCCCACCCTGGATCTCCTTGTAACCATGTTTCAGTGATGGCTACTTGATCGTACCCATATGTGTCTATCTGTGCTTTTAATTCATCAGTTTTATTCCGAATGCTTCGCGCATTCAGATAGAACATTTTTAAGCAGCTGGGACCATCATTGAGTATGGTACCCATGAGCTGATTCTGATTAAAACAATGCAGAAACATTACATCGACAACTGATAAGACAGCAGCAGCTGTTAGTTAGTTAGTTAGTTAATTAGTTAGTTATTTATTTATACATACATTTATTACTTCTGAACCCATTCAACTCTTCACAACACACTGTCATTTACCCAAAACATTTTATTACAAATTATACCAAATAACCCATAACATACATCACGCTAAGACATAACCTCTAGAATTTAGCTGATACTGATTAGGCTTATAGTGTTGACAAATCATTCCAATACGGACTAAGCAATAATATATTTCTGATTCCAACAGAGAGTGCACAATTCTATTCCAGACAGAGAAAATTCCCAGTGTAGTGTACATTGGTGGATTCCCAGTGTCCACTCAACTTTATTTTAATGTAATAATTACAATAATCCTTGCATTTTTTGATATAGCGCCTTATCACAAACCTTACTAATTACACTTTTTAAAGAAAATGTCTTTATTAATAGTATATGTTAAGGTTATTAAAAATGTTTTAATTCTTGGAAATGATAGAATAAAAAAACAGTAAATGGAATATCGGATAATTTAACCACTCAGTGTACTTAATAGAATTTAGAAATCTCAAAGCTAATGTAAAAATATAGATCAGTAAAAGAATCCCTTACTTATGGATATTTCGGTATATTGCCTGTGACTATTGATTTAAACCAACTAATCTGAGTCAGGATAAATGCATAGACCCAATCACTACCTTCTACACAACAAATTTCTAGCAATGTTCTGGAAAGTTATGTTTTGCAAACTATTGATATTGATATTGCTAAATGTAAATGAAAGTGAAGATAAATTTAAATGTTTATTAATGACTATTACTTAAATAAACTAAATAGAAAGCGACATGGAAAATCTTAATGGAATCAATAAATAAATGGCTGAATTAAAGTCCCACTTTGTGAATTCTATGGTTTGTTGAATAATTTTGACTGTCCAATCGGGTATGCAATTAACCTAATTTCACTGTATTTATAATTGCGACTGAATTTTTTTTATCCAAATCAGCATTCTTTTCCCTTGTAATAACAATAATCCTTGCATTTGATATATTGCCTTATCATGGTGTTGGCAGGCCCCAAAGAGCTTCACAGGATTTAGTGTAAAGTGGAGTGACTGAGTATTTTGTAGGCAAACGTGGAAGCCAATTTTGTGGACAGCACTGTAATACAATTTACACTAGAAAGTGCCATCATTCACACGGGAAGATGTCCCAAAGTGCTTCATAGCCCACAAATAGCCATCAAGCCTATGATCAGTTTATTTGGGGGATTGTTGGCCAGGACAGTAGGAGACCAGCAGATTGTCAGCGGCTCACAATTTGCCCATAAAACATTAAATTTGGGACTGAACAGAGGATAAAGTTTCTCAGTGAAAGTTTGGGTGAAAGTGTGGAGATGAGACATGTTGTCAACGTTATAAAATGATATCTGTCCCTCTTCATAGTCCAGGAACACTCCGACCTTCCCAGGTCCCACTGTCAGGGGCAGAGGGGTGGGGGGTGATGTCAGAGCCTCATAGACCTCGTCCACCAGTCCCACCGCCCAGACCCCACCCTCAGGTGACCAAGTGATTGGTTGTTTCCTGTCGACAGACTCTGTGGCCAATCCCACAGTCCACAATGACTTGTTGCCCACCTGCACCTCCCAGTAATGTCTCCCCGATGTGAAGCCCTCAGATCCCAGGACAATGGGATAGTAACTGAACCTCTTCGGGGAGTGAGGGAGCGGCTGCTCTTCATCTCCGTCTCTCACACTGGTCCGGTCCTCACTCAGGATGAGCCGGGGATGGGCTGTGTCAGGATCCAGAGTCAGAGCGGCCGGAGCTGAGAGAGAGAGAAACAACACCAAGTGGAGTGAGGGGGTCCCAGTGCAGTGGGGGGGGGGGGGGGGGGGGGGGTGCAGGAGTGAGGGCGGGCACTAGGGGGCGGTGTGTGAGTGGGTGGTCAGAGGGTCAGTTGCTGAACACAGGACACACAGCCCTGAGGGTGTCCCGCCGCCAGGCCGCCAGCAGAGGGCGCTGGTGACCGTGTGACTGGAGTCGCTGTTGGTGAAAACGCTCACACAGCGCCACCTGCTGACGTCACGCGGTAACTACAAGAGTACAGAGCTCTGCGCTGTGTTACAGTGACATCTCATCACCAACAATGTTTAATTTAGGATCAGGTGAGTGTCAGATATTCACACACCTTCAGTCTGAGAGTGGGAGACATGTACCTGGGCTGATGCTGTGTATTATCTCTCTCCAGACTGTGTACTGTAGAGGCCCTTTGTATATCCCCACAGGCAGATCCCCCCCAGACACTGACAGCACAAACTCCTCATTGATCCTGAAATAAGAGACGATCACATTATAAAGTGAAACTGCACATTGTGTTTGGTTTGCGCATTAAATTCCGGTGATATTTTGTAAAGAAATTTTCATACCTTGTTTTCCGAGCACTTTCCTCCTAAAGAAATGAAACACAGACAAATCTGAGCTCACACTGAGACACAACATTGTAAACTCAGATAACAGAGAATAAAATTCTACAGCACACAGTTTACTGTAATTATTATAGGAATGTTAGTCACTCAGTGTTGTCTCCAAAGACCAGAAAGTTTAGATATAAAGTGGTTATAGGCAGGGACACACAGTGATACCGCTTAGACACACACCCTCACACTCAGTAACTTACAGTAAAAATGCAGTAAACAGAACATTAACAGGATTACACTGTAATTAGAAGGTAATTGATAACATTCTCACAATGATAAATAAATGTTAACCCCAGGATAACCACAGCTGAAGTGTCCCTGCATGTTGGCTTTGCAGGGACACCGCAGGCCCTGGGAGTGACTGATTCCAGGTCAGGGTGAAACTTTGGGCAAGTTTCCTTACTCCACACGCCAAATAATAATCCCTCCAAAAAACAAAAACAATAATAAATTGGTCATTTTCAATCCACAACTGTTTGTGGGACACTGCTGTGCGTAATTGACAGCCACGCTTCACCCACAAATATACGGTCAATTCACTTTACAGCATATTCTGTGAAGCGCTTTGAAGCGTCTGGAAGAAAAGCGCTATATCAAATACAAGGATTCTTATATTATTATTTTATGTGAGTTCAGTTGTGTACTGAGTGACAGCAGCAGAGTCGCTATCAGAATATGCCAAATAATCAATAAATCACTGGGCTGTTTAACAGTCAGACTTTGACTTTCTGCTCCAGACTGTGTGTAACTTTTACTGAACTCAATTATAATTTAATCTCTTTACCAGCAGAAAGGTGAGCGCCTCCTTTTCCATCTGTTTCTGTAACTCTGAGAGATTTTGTTGAGTAGAATCTAATTTGTCCTGAATCTGTCGCAGATTATTCTCCATTTGGTGTAAAATCTCTTCCTCTCGCTCTCTGAGCTCTCGGATTACACGCTGCTCTCTGTCAGTGAGGCTCTGGCGCATTTTAGCAAACTCTGCCGTGACGTGGTTCTCCAGACTGTTTACCTGTTTCTGCAAAATGAAGCGTCAGACATCACACCGCGCACGGTGAAGAGAGACACACGACTGAGAGCTCAGACATCAGCCCCGAAACAACTTACCTGAACTTGTGAAATCTTTTGTTTCTGTTCCTCTTTAGCTCTGAGAGCAGTGGCCTTCCTCTGTGTGAGAGAAGCTAAGGAGGATTTCACTTTATTCTGGAATAAATGACAACAAATTACATTGATATGTGACCTTTCACTGTGTGTTTAACAGTCAGACTTTGACCGTCCACACAATCCCTCTCCAGCATGAGTCTCTCCAGCATCGGCATTCATGGATGCTGACTCCGCCTCACCAAGCCCATCAGGAATCTGGCGGTCTTGTTCAACCCTTAACTGCCCTTTCTCCCCCATATCCATGCCATCACCCGCTCTGCCTTACCCCACCTCCGCAACATTGCTGGACTCCACCACTGCCTCACCCCTCAGGCCGTCGAAACCCTCATACACGCATTCGTCACCTCAAGGCTCGACTACGTAAACTCCCTACTTGTCAGCCCCCCCAACTCATCCCTCCACAACCTGCAGATCATCCAGAACTCTGCAGCTCGTATCCTCTCCTGCACCAGGCTCCGTAACCACATCACCCCCAACTCCACTGGCTCCCCATCCCTCAGAGGATAGAATTCGAAATCTTTGTCCTCACTTTCAAGGCCCTCAATGGCCTTGCTCCCTCCTACCTCTCCGACCTGCAGACTCTCTACACACCTGCCTACTCCCTCCATTTAGCAAGATCCGGCCTGCTCCATGTCTGCCGCCCGACCCACCCTAAGATTGGCAGCCAGGCTTTCTGCCTCTCTGCCCCTCACACTTTGGAACTCCATCCCACAGTCCCTTTGCATCACTTCAAGAAGTGACTGAAGATCCTATTTTTTGACCGTGCCTTCAGCCGCCCTCTTAGCTTTCTGCCCTCCCTCATCCCAAGCCTGTCCCCCATCACCACCATCCTGATCTCTGACTCTTTAGTTCCTTAGGATGTCCTCCTGACTTGAAGGGCGCTTCACAAATGTAATTTTTTGGGGTAGGAAATTTCTAGAATATTGTTGCTGTCAGCACCTAAAGTGAGGAGGAGCTGATGGGAGCCAAGCAGGAGGGCCTCCATCTTGTCAACGTTCAACTGGAAACACAACAGAATCAAATTATTTGAATGTGAAAATGTAATAGAATGAATCCTGTGTGAGGATCCTTTTACCTTGTACATTTTAACAGCTTCGTCAATGGGCAGGAAGCTGTGACCTCTGTGTTCCCAGGAATCTCTGCAAACTAAACATATCAATTTCTTGTCATTTTTACAGAACAGCTTCAGTTCTTCCTGGTGTTTCTCACAGCGACGTTTAATGCCTGTCTCTTTTGGGGTCAGACTCAACTCCTGAGCTTTCTCTGACAGGTTGGCCAGGGCCCGATTGGTCCTGAGATTCCTTTCCGGGAATGTCTCCTGACATACAGGACAAGTGTTTTCTCCCTGATTTTCCCAGAACCGTGTGATACAGGAGCGGCAGAAGCTGTGGCTACAACACAGGAGAACTGGATCCGTAAAGAGATCCAGACAAACCGGACAAATTAACTCCTCGGTCAGACCGTGAGTCTGGTGTTGAGAAGCCATTTCACCTTCAGCACTCACTATTTCAAAATTGCTTTCACTTCGCTGTTTGTGAGGAGTGGCTCCTCCCCGATAACCAATCACTTGCTCTTCAGCTCCGGCCTGTAATCTTTACTGATCAACTAAGTGAATACTGAGTGACAGATTAACCCTCTCACTGCATCTTTCTGGTTGTGGAGTCCTGTAGCGTCCTGTAATGGTTAGATCACTCACCTCGCAAGTGAGAGGATCCTGATTCGAATCCTAGGCAGGGCGAAATGTTGGGCAAGTCACCTTACTCCACACACCTCTGTTTGCCAAGCAGTAAATAGGAACCAAGTTGTTAGTCGATTGATGGATCACTTTTCTCAGGGTAATAATCCCTTCAAAAAAAATTTTAGTCACTAAATCTACCACTGTTTGTGGGACTGTGCTATGTGCATTACAGAGGTAGAGGGGAGCAAGACCATGGAGGGCTTTCAAGGTGAGAACAAGGGTTTTGAACTTGATTCTCTGAGGGATGGGGAGCCAGTGAAGCCAGACGACGATGGGGTGATGGGTTCTCTCAGTGCTCAGCGCAGATATACTCAGCACTCTGGTCAGACCCCACCTGGAGGAAGGCATAAAGTTCTTGTCACTGAGACACAATATATAGTGTATATTGTGTATATATATATATATATAGTGTATATATATAGTGGATATAGTGCAGAGGAGAGCAATGAGTGTTTACGCATGAACATGAATAACAATATTTGACGGCCTTCAGACAAGACTACATTGTCGTGAAGCGTGAACCTACACATCTACTGACTCTAATCTAATCTTTGCTGTGAGCAATGATTTGACAAACTTGGGCTCTTCTCTAGTTCAAACCTTCGTTCTCACCTTCAAAGTGCTCCATGGGTTTTGGTCTCCCCTACCTTTCTGACCTTCCAAACCTCATATTAACCTGTCCGTTCCCTCCGTTCGATGGAAACTGGCCTGTTTCAGGATTCCTGGTGGTCGTCATTCAGCATCTCTGCCCCCACACTCTGGTACTCTATCCTGCAATCCCTCCAACTCCCCCCCCCCCCCTCCCCCCACCTCTCTTCCATTCTTCAAGTACCGTCTAAAGACTTTCCACTTCGACTCTGTGTTAGGTCACCCTACCACAACCACTGTGCCCCCCCCACCACTGCCTTCCACCCCTCCGGACCCAAACTCCCAGCTCAGGTCCCAAACCCGATTGCCCAGTGCCCTGTCATGTCTTTCCAACGTGAAGGGCAATATACAAGTGTAATTTGTTGTTGTTCAGTCTTGAGAAAACACAACTCAGAGGGAACCTCATAGACGTTACAAAACATTTTGAACTGAGATTGAATAAGTAAAACCCAGATCAATAGTTTTAGATGCACTGAGACACAAGAACAAGGGGATACTTGTATCAAACACTTTATTTGGAGCAAAGTTTAAACATTGGGTGCAATCCAGACACAAACCAGTATAAACCTGATCTCAAAGGGGGTGCAGGAACAGAGAGACCTGGGGATCCACATAATGAAATCTATGACACTGGCAGTACAGGTAAATAAAGCTGTTAAAAAAGCGTACGGGATATTCAGTCTTATAAAAAGGGGCATAAAATACAAATGTCAGGAAGTTATGATGACCCTTTATAATTGTATTGTATTTAATATAATACTAATAATCCGTGCATTTTATGCAGCAGCTTTGTCTTCAGGGGACGTCTTAAAGCAATTCACAGGATCCACTGTAAAGTGCAATTACTGTATATTTTGAAAGCAAACGTGACAGCCAATCTACACACATCCATGTCCCACAAATATATATGAAGTGAATGACCTATTTTATTTGGGGTATCTCCCTTCAAGTTTCCAATCATATCTAGGATCTTTAACATCCACATGAACAAGCGTACATAGCACTTCAGGTTAATGTCTCATCAAAAAGTCTGCAACTCTGACAATGCTGTGCACCTCCCAGTGCTGTAAAACTAACACCATAACAGAGTGAATTTCAGATCAGCCTTTACATTCACCTACAAACCAAAGTCACTACAATTGACAGTGAATTGCTTTGAGATGTCTTCCTGATGTGAAAGCCTCTGTACCAAATGCAAAGCTTCTTCTTCTTGTGTAAAGCTCCGAGCGAGCCACCGTGTGAAGAATGGTACACATGCTGACAGACACAGAGAGAGAGACACAGATTCACTGGCACAAGAGAGAGTTGCTTTCACATGCGGGAGCAGGTATTTTCATTGAGAGGTTTGTTTTTGCACGGGGAGGATGTTTGTCTTCACGATTATCTGTTCGCTCAGCCCATGAGGTGGCTGGTGTCATCAGCAGCTACTTTTGCAAAAGGAAAACAACAACTTGTGTTCATATATCACCCTTCTCACGGGGCAGCGTCCCAAAGCGCTTCAGTGTAAATACTGAAAATTATTCAGTGTTAATTTATTCTCTCCTCAATCAACGCAACCACTCATTGGGTTATTTTTCTCTCTCTCAGGTCCGGTGAGATTGGGGGCATGGACTATTATGAGGTTCCGACTTCACCTTTCACCCACCTGTCCCTAATAGCGAGACCCAAGAAAGTTGGAGTTTACCTGGACTATGAGGAGGGACAGGTGTCATTTTACAACGCTGACAACATATTTCATGTCTACACTTTCACCCAAACTTTCACTGAAAATCTTTATTCTCTCTTCTATCCCTGGTTTGATTCTGAGCCTCTGACTATCTGCCGGTTATTGTACTAACAGTGACGTGGTTTTGCCCCGGTTTCCACGTGATTCTTTGTCTCTTGTTTGTGGGAATATAATGCGTTGGGGGGAGGGTATTACAGGTGGGAGGGGGGGATTACAGGAGGAATTACAAGGGGAGAGTTTACAGGGGATGAGTGTTGGAATTAAAACTACAAGCTTTATAAATCTTCTTTTCCATTTCCCTTTTTATTTTCCTATTGATCCATTCTGGTGTATGTTTATTTATTTTGCCCTCCTTTACTTCGTAATAACACTTGTCACCACCACCAACACAGCACCCTTCATGCAGGACCTGACGCCGGGCCAGGGGGAGGGAGGATATTAACGTAAACACTGTTGAAGTGAAAGGACTTCAGCCATGATCTGAAAAAGGAGGAGGAGGGATCAAGGCGGAATGACTGAGGGAAGTTCAAAGTTTTCTGGTGTAATGGCTGAAACGAATGGTGAAGCGGAGGGGACGATGGACAAGCAGGAAGTTTGCGCTCATCCGGGTCTTGATGTCCAACAAGCTTTCAGGACATCCGGGGACCTGGAGTCATAGCTGGATGAGGAGTAGATTTGGGTGTCATTTGCAAACATGTGGAAGTTTACCCCACATCACTGTGAGGGAGCTGGTAAATGAGGAAAAGAAGGGGACTGTGTGAGGGCGGGAGGAAAAAAATCTTTTGCAGAGATAAACATACAAGTTTTATAAATCTTCCTATTCTTTTATCTCCTGTTTCTTTTCCTATTGATCCTTGTTGTGTTTTGTTTATTTTGCTCTCCTGCTATATAACTTGTCTTTTGTGCACTGCATTGTGATCTTTAATGATGTCCATTGATCCTCAACTAATAAAAATAATAATAATCCTAGCATTTTCATTTAGCGCCTAGACTCTACCTGTGTGTGTGGGGTGTGTGTGTCTTCTCTGTGATGGATCTCTCTCTCCTTTTCAAGGGTCAATATTTGTCTCTCCCTCTCTCTCGCTATGTGGTTTGTGTGTGTTTCTCTCTTTGTGATGGGTCTCTCTCGCTTCCTCATGGATATCTCTCTATCTCTTGATAGATCATATTTCTCTCTGCCATCTCATGGATCATCTCTCTCTCTCTCTCTCTATCTCACACTCTGTGATAGATCTCTATCTCTTTCTCACTCTCTCCGTGTCGTTTGCATGTGTCTCACTCACTCTCACTCTCTACGATGGGTCTGTCTTTCTTTCAGTTCAAAGTAGAATCCCTTAAAACGTCAAAATACAGACTGAAGCATCAGTCGTTGACTCCTCGATCTCTACACAGCCTGTGGCTGGGATCTCAGTGACAGTGTCTGGGGTTGACGTTTGTATAATATCACGGGTTCACATACAGAACAGAAAGGTTTATTGTAATCCAGGCGAACAGTGACCAGCCGTGAGCTAAAGTACACAGGTAACGCCAACAACAATCCGAACACTCGCTGCAGCATCTGATACATCAGAACATAGGCAACAAAATATACAGTCACTACACTTTACAGTATAGACTGTGAAGCGCTTTGAGACGTCTTGAAGACTTAAGGCCCTTTATCAAATGCAAAGATTATTATTATTGTTGTAGTGCTCAAGTGTAGGTTCAGTGTAGTGACTGTATATTGTCAGCAAATAAAACCCACATTGACATCCCACAACAACTTGCCATTTGTACAGTGCCCTTCACATGGGTTTGCATCTCAAGAGTACTTAATGGTGGTGGAGCTTTATGAACCCCACTCCTCTTCTCCCCACACCACCTCCCCCACCCTGGCTTGTTTGACTCAGTCCCATCCCATCTCCCCCCTCCCCTCTGCCTTCTCACCCTCAGTGGCCGAATATTCAGTGCCTACACATCTAATTTCTGGGACTCCCTCCCTCGGCCTCTCAGTCTCGCCCCCTCTCTTTCTGCCTTAATAATAATTATAAGAATCCCTTGCATTTGATGTAATGGCTTATAACATTGTTGAGAGGTCTCAAAGTGCTTCACAGAATAATAATAATAATAATCCTTGCATTTGATATAGCGCTTTTCACGTCAGGAGGACGTCCCAAAGTGCTTCACAGAACACACTGTAAAGTGAATTGACTGTATATTTGTGGGCAAACGCGGCAGCCAATTGCGCACAGCAATGTCCCACAAACAGTCGTAGATTGAAAATGACCAATTTATTATTGTTTTTGGATTTGGAGGGATTATTAGGAGTGTGGAGTAAGGAAACTTGCCCAAGGTTTGGCCCTGACCTGCCGGGAATTGAACTCAGGTCTCTCACTTG